AGGCCCTGCAGTCCAGCTGAGGGGGCCGGGTTGGTGGCAGCATGGGGGAATGAACACAGCTGTCTGCCTTTGCCATCACCTGTCACTCTGAGCTCAGAGGAAGGCCTTGATTTCTCCTCTTCTGTACAAAGAGAGAGATGCTCTTAAGGTCCACTCTGGCTCTAAGAAGGCTGGTAACAGTCAGGAACTCAATCCCTGCAAGCTCTGTGCTAAGGTCTTACTCTTTTCATGTAGGGCTTCAGTGAACCCTCACCCCCACGCCTACAGAGAAAACAGGCTGGGTAAATGGCCCTAGCTCCCACATCCAGTGCAGAACCAGGATCTGAACCCGGCAGTGTTTTTTTTTTTTTGAGACAGAGCCTCAAACTTTCACCCTGGGTAGAGTACTATGGCATCACAGCTCACAGCAACCTCCAACTCCTGGGCTCAAGTGATTCTCCTGCCTCTGCCTCCCAGGAAGCTGAACTACAGGCGACCACCACAATGCCCGGCTATTTTTTGGTTGCAGCCATCATTATTGTTTGGCTGGATTCGAACCCACCAGCTCAGATGTATGTGGCTGGCACCATAGCCACTTGAGCCACAGGCGTCAAGACAACCAAGCAGTCTTGACACCAACTCCCCACTTGTCCAGTAGTTGTCTATACTGATCTAAAGTCTAGCCCAGACCATGCATCTGCACTCAAAAACCTTTTGGACTCCCTGCTGTCAGAGAAAGGGCCTCTTCCTGCCCACACTCCCATCAACACCTGCACCTCCATCCACTCTCCCTGGTGGACCCACCTCTATACAGTGTCCATGTGAAGACCTGGGGGATACAACGTGGGTAGAAGCACAAAAGTACAGTCCTGGAGCTTATGGGAAAACAAGCACAGATGAAGTCACTTATACATACTTCCCTTCTCCCCTAAAGAGCCCGCAGAGGCCCACGGTGGAGACCAGCCATAGGCTAGAGACAGGAGACACTTCACTTACAGGGTCAAGGCTCAGCTTTCCAAAGGGGGCCCAGCCCAGCCCAATAGCAGGTGTCCAAGGTCCCTAGGCTTGGTTCTCATGTCTCACTGCCACCTTTCTCAGGTGTGTTGCCCTGACCCCTAACAAGCCTCAGTCGGTCACCCATCCCTCTACTTCTTGGGTGCCTACTGAGTGTTGGACACTGCTAGACATTGGTGATACAGTAATGATCAAAAATGGTCCCTGCCTTTGCAGACTTGGGACTCTCACAAAGGGGAGAGGGAGCAGTAAGTACACAGCAAATGCAAAATAACTATACTACGCACCACGGAGGACAGGTACACAGTGCTATAAGAACTCGTGACAGGGGATGTCGCCCTGAGAAAGGTGGTGGGCTGGAGGCCCAGGGACTGTTTGCCATCTTTCCTGCATCTTACTAGCCTAAACCAGGAGTTGGTCAATGCAAACATTCCTCACCTCGCCTGTCCCTCACACAGGCAGAGTACGGCTGCCCTACAGAACTGGGGGATATTTACTGGGCTGTGTGCATGAAGGTGGCACAGATGCTTTATGCCTTTCTCTTAAGGGGAAGATGTCAGGGGCAATATCTCACTGGCCCTGATGACTTGAACTAGGGCAGGGTTGGTCCTACACTGGAGAATCATTCCCCACCTTCCAGACCACAGGTCTCAGTCTCTTTAATGGCATCACCACTGCCAGCCCTACCACACTGCACCCTCTACCCCCGAGCCCCCCATACAGGCATATAACATCAGGTGTCAGAAACTGCCCCTGTGGCACCTAACACTGCTGGCTCTGACATTTCCTCCTTTCCCACAGGGCCCAGGTGGGTAAACTTCAAGGCTTTCATGAGGCTGCAGAGTCCATGCAAGGATGGCAGCAGGCCTGACAGACCCAGAGGCCCTCTGAGACTCAAGTCATTTCTCATTTGGGGAGAACGTGCTGATTTGAGGACACGACGAGCTCTGCCTCATCTCATCCAAAGTTCAGGTCTCCCTCTCCCCTAAAGGCAGGGTCAGTTTGAACTTCTCATAACCCCAATTTGAGATAAACCATGGGAAGTAAATAAACATCCGCTCAATTGAGAAAGCATCAGTTGTGAGCAGCACGGACACAGGCCCTCAGCCACACCCTGCAGTATGTAGTGCTGCCTTTTGTATTATATTTTCCCAGCACCTGGCTATTTAAATAAGTCCTTGGAAGAATCATACTTTGTACTTCCCTAAGACCTGGCCACAGATGGGCCCCAAAGGGCTATTCACGGGCTATTCCTCAAACTTTTTAAACAAGGGGCCAGTTCACTGTCCTGCAGACTGTTGGAGGGCTGGACTGCGGGCCCAGGATGAGTCAGCTGCTAAACAGGACAGGTAGCAGCAGCAAAAACACCCAGCGGGCCGCATGTGGCCTGTGGGCCGTAGTTTGAGGACCCCTGTGCTATATAGTCAACAGTTGCTGATTCTCCTATTTGTGCTAAGAATACCAGTTTTAGCCCAGCCCAACACTGGGCTAAGTTAAATTCCAGAGAGGACATGGCAACTGCTTTCAGATCAGATCTTTAATTATCTACCAAGAGTGAGCTACTACACTGGGCACCAGGAAAATAACCATCCTAGTGAGCATTCATGGAGCAGTGTTCTCACACAGATGTACCTCGTGCTGCCAGAATCTTGGCAGTACTGCCACCTGCCTGCCCACCCCAGACTGTAAGCTCCCTTGAGGCGGCAGTCACCAAGTTCGGAGTCCAGTGCCCTCTCCTTGCAACAGGGACCTCCATCTGTACTCAGTGAATTGATAATGTTTTGGAATTCCATGCACCTCAGGGTACTTGGAAAATCAACCCATCAAAAAGAATTTATTAAATGGCCACTAAATTCCCTGCCCTCGGCGATAACAATTTGATGGCAGCTGATTTTAAAAGGATTGGCTCTTTTAAAAAATTATCAGTGAGTGAACAGAAACCATTACTGTTCAGAATAAATAACCTACGGGTGTCCTCTAAGTGCAGAGACACATTTCTGTCATATCAAACAGCAAGAACAGAGTAAATCGTGCAGGTTTCTCCCCAGTGCTGGTGTGCAACTTACTGATATGCTGCAGGAGTCCCCATCACGCTCAGATTGGATCTCCACACTTCCGAGGTGCAAGATGGAAGCAATTATCTTAAAAATGCTTATCTGATGGGATTCTCTCACTCCTGAGGGAGAAAAGGAATGAATGAATGATGCTCAACATCCATGGCAGATGGAAAAGACATTTTACTTTTTGAAAGGACTTAAAAAACAGTTTGATTTTTCTTTCTGACCCAATGACTCCTAAAATCATCCAGTCTCCTCACCAAGTAATTGCCACTCACAGTAACAGCTCAGAGGGCAAAGGGGCTCCCTGGACTTTATATCACTGCATCTGTCCTGATCAAACCAGATGGGTCAAGCTACCATTTTAACTCTGCAGAGAGCAAAGGAGAGGCAATGATCCCACAAACTCATTTGGGACTTCATTTCAACCTAACACTTTATGGATGTTTTTATGAATTTAACAAGAACAGTCATTTATCAGCAATCATTTTTTTCCCCAACATAATATCCTACAAACATCTGTGACATAGTCACAGCACCAAGTGGGGAATTTTTTCTAGGGATTGGTATTTCAGCGACTGGCTCATGGCTATCCCTAGATAGGCACTGCTGTCGGCCACACTAAACCACCTTCATTGTCACAGACACAACAACCTCTTGTCCATTTGTTACTTACTGTGAATTATTAAAGGCATGGATAATATCTTAGAATTTACATTTAGCTTGATGTCAATTAGCATTTCTATTTATTGACTGAGACAGAGTTTCACTCTGGTGCCCTGTGTAGAGTGCTGTGGTATCATAGCTCACAGCAACCTCAAGCTCCTGGGGCCAGGCAATCCTCTTGCCTCCGTTTTTCGATTTTTAGTAGAGACGGGTCTTGCTCTTGCTCAGGCTGGTCTCGAACTCCTGAGCTCAAGCAATCCACCTGTCTGGGCCTCTCAGAGTGCTAGGATTCCAGGCGTGAGCAACCACACCTGGCCTAGCATTTCTTTTTAAGTTACAAAATACTTCAAACTTATTTAAGAAAGATTACAGAATAACATGAGCCCCAGTAAACCTCACTTGGTTTAAAAAATCCAGTGATCCTCCATTCATCACAGATATAGTTTATTTTTAAGGCAATACTTTACTCAGGCTAAAAAAAAAAAAAAAGGTGTCAATAACATCTATATAAACTGGAGGCACAGATGTGTCATGCTAGTATTAAAAAATTTCCCCAGATAATCCACAAAGTGGACAACACAAGTTTAATGCTAGGCTTTATGTATAGATGACCACTACCCATGTAACCTTCACAGGTACAGGGATTTACTTTGACGTTTTTATAATTTCAAGACATACAAAGTAAACAATAATGAATCCCTGTTCTTGCTTCATCATCACATTCTCAGTGCCTCAATAGTGCCTGGCACATAGTAGGTGCTCAGAAACATGAATCATGGGATGACCAAATTTACAACTGTTGACACAGACTATAAGTACTTGCAGACATCTACAGAAACACATGATTGTGCATTAGTCAAATGTGTGGTTTTATTCAGATGATGAGAAGAGAAAAAAAAAAAAGCCAGAAGCCAAAAGATTTAGGCATCCATCCTGGTTCAGTATAACTGAACACACCTGGTTAAAGCCAGAGACTGGTGTCCAAAGCAAGACAGGAAGCTAGATGCCTACGTATGCATATAAGGGGCAAAGCACTGGGCTTTCCATCTGGGCTTAGGGCATCTTACCCTTGGGTAAGTCCCATGAGAAGTACTAGTCAGAAGGTGGGTGCTGGAACTGTCACAGGGTATCCTGCTAGGCAGAAGCTTTTCTCTCTCCTCTTATTTTTGGGCATCAGTACTCTGTCAATTTCTCCAAAGACCTATCCACCCCATCTCAGTAGGAATTTAAGAGGCATACAGAGAATGAATATTGAATCTCAGTGATAGGATCCTAGACTACACTGATGAGAAAATCCTCTTTGGTTTGGGATTCTCTGAATAAGCAGTACCTCATCATGGGCAGGAAAATCAAAACAAAAGCCAAACAATAGGTGTCAGCAACCTGGGGCTTGCAGCCAACAGCCTGTTTTCATACATGGTGCCCTCTTATTCACATGTTGTCCGTTCTGACCTTCACAGTATAACAGCATAGTTCAGCAGAACCTAAAACATTTACTATCTCGTCCCTTAAGTTTGCCAACTTCTCAGAGTTTTAATAAAAAGGATATGTTAAAGAATAGGGAAGAAGGGCCAGGGACAGTGGCTCACACCTGTAATCCTAGCACTCTGAGAGGCCCAGACAGGAGACTGCTTGAGCTCGGGAGTTCAAGACTAGCCTGAGCAAGAGTGAGACCCTGTCTCTACTAAAAATAAGAGAAATTAGCTGGGCATTGTGGTGGGTGCCTGTAGTTCCAGCTCCTCGGGAGGCTGAGGCAAGAGGATCACTTAAGCCCAAGAGTTTGAGGTTGCTGTGAGGTATGATGCCATGGCACTCTACCCAGGGTGACAGAGTGAGACTGTTTAAAAAAACACTAGGGAAGAAAGTTTAACTAAAATGATTTTACAAAAATAACCTGCTTTGAGAATTAAAGTATCCAGTCAATCTTTAGAGCCTTGCAGGGGAGGGAACAATCCTCTCTTCCTATCAGCTCATGCCCACTGCTCACACTAGCTACTAAAAGAATAGCTACCAGAGGCCTTCTTTTTCTGACAAACTGGTCAGAACGTATCCTGCTTTGTGTCAAGTCTTTTCCAAACCTTCCCCCAAGTCTAAGACAGGCATGGGATGCTGGGGAAGTCAGGGGTGCCAGTTATCAACTTCTTATCTCTCCACTTCAATCCTCCCCCTCTCTGGCCTGCTTTGTGATACTGGAGCTGGTCCTTGTAAACCTTTCCCCTTTGCCTTCTGGTAGAATGTCAAGCTTGCTCAGTAGAGGGCAATAGTGGTCTACAAGGCAACAGCCACCAGAAGACTGAAGTTTCCCCTCCTGGTTCTAGCCCTCTACAGTTATTCCTG